TGTTAAGCCAAAAATAAATTACTTCGATATTAGACCTAAATTAAATTATAATAAAAAAATTGAATTAAATAAATTGTACAAAAAGACGAGAGCTTTTAAATAGTTTAATTTGATATTAATATCGATATATTTTTTCAAATTTTTATGATATCTTCAAATGTATTTTTATTCAAAAGTAAAAACATTATCTTTCTCAAAACCACATAAACTTTGTTATATCAACAAAGACAAAAAAATAAAACGAAACATTAAAATGAAGATGTATCTCGCTACATTATGCAAGTATCATTCTATATAGTAATATAAATATGCATTTACTTGTTCTCATAAAAGTAAAAACATTTCACTCATATACATACATACATATATACATACATACATACATGTATAAGAGTATGGGATTAAGCAAGGATCACCTCATTAATCACCATCAAAAGTGGGTTAAGATGCTTGAGTTTTTAAACAACCACCTCTTACTTTGATGCTAATTATAAGCATCAACCCATCTCCAAGTTAATTTTCACTTTTTGTTTCCTTCATCCTCAATTACTCCTAATAATCTTATTTTTAATTAATTAATGATACTGAGTTTGCTCGATGATGAATCTGATATTTATAATTTCATTAGTTTGTGAGGTGTATGGAAAACGGTTTTTTTTATATAATCTAAGTAAATGTTAATTATTTTGTTACCAAACACGCATGGTTTCGAAAAATTCATTATGCATGTTAAATTCAAATATAATATTTCAAAACAAAGTATAAATTAAAACAGTATTCACTGAATCTAACTTCTTAGAATTAACTGAAAATTCTTTTATATGATCTAGAAACGTCATGTGTAAGATATACGAAACATTTGTCGTGTATCGATATGTGAATCTTCATATATAACGAAACGTGTGATCCTAATGATTATGGGTGTTACTCTATGCTAATACAATGGTTTTCCGTTGACGTTTTATGATTAAAGACCATTATTTTCGAAAAATCTACTGAAACTGAAGTCTTGTACGTCGATCTCAAAGTCTTACTCATAGGTCCGGTCCGTCTAGCCATCGAAGTTGCATCAAGTTAGTTAATTGATGAGATGGGGTGAGTTTGGTTGGTTCGTTAGTACCCCACAAGTTGAAAAATAAGATGATTATAACTTAAGATGAACTTAAAGGTTAGATTATGTAGTTATGGAGGTACAAGAACAAAATGAAAATGATATGGTCCATGAACCACTTTCCGTTTCTAGAAGAGTGGTTGGTACTTTGTGTTTGTGGGTTGAATTAAAGATTAATTTTTTTTAATAAGTGTGTTTAATGTGGTATGTATAGTTGGTGAGGGGTAAATATGTAAATTTCTATCATTGGTATTTTCTTTTTAATTTTAATCTTAAATATAAACATAAGAATTTTCTTTTTAAGGCATTATATATATATATATATATATATATATATAAAAGATCATTTACTTAAATGCGAATAAGATCTCGTCATAAATATCAGTGACTTCAGATCCAACTAGTATCTAATGGAGTTTTTAAATGTCTTTTTTTTCTTTGATTAAGATCGAAATTATACAATTAAACTACATCTTAAACTCCTCTACACAAATCATGTACCGTGGATGATGTGGCTCTACATGCCACTGATAGGCATGGTCATGTTCGGCTTCGGTAGTCCAATATAACGACTTAAACTTAATCTTTTCAAGAAATGAATATCGGTACGTTATAAGTCTTGCATATACAAATTTTTTTGTTCCACTGCTAACAAAGCTCTCAGAAGAAGATAGTATTACACTATAGAATCAAAAGCTGGTCAACTCTTAAAATCGTCAACATTGGATATCAGTTTTTATTAAGATGATAAGACCATCTCTGATCAACGAGTTAAAGAGTTAAAGTGGCATAGTCATCAATTTATATATATATATATATATATATATATATATATATGTGGAAGTCTCTAAACATGAGAATCGCTCCTTTTTTTTTTAATTTGTGGTATTTTTCTTTTTCTATCAGCTATTTGCCAATATTTATTTATAACTCAACATGTCATTTCAATTAATATTATTTATAGACTAAATTTCTATTTACCATATTTTTTATACATATAATTAGTTACCATGCAATTCATACGTACACTTATTTATTTCTTAATAAAAATCGACAGATGTATCATCCTATTTTTAAAAAGAAAAAAAATTGCATCATCAATCAGACAAACAATGCTAAATTATCCACATCCCCATCGTTATTACTCATTTTATTTAATTTTACAACTTTATTCCTAAACAAATCTCTCTTTCTCTCTCTCTTTATATATATATATATATATATATATATATATATATATATATAATCACTAATTAGATTTTATTAACTTTTTTGAATTATTTGAATAATATTTGTTGATGATTCTATTAACAACTAAAATATATTTATATAAATAATCTTCAAATCATCAACTAAAGTACTTATGCTAATATACAATACACAATAGGATCAACAAAGCACTTTGAAAAACATAAATGAACCCCACTTTAACTCAAATAAACTTCAATTTTAGTATATGTTTTTATTTTAATTGGTCAAAAAATTAAAAATTAAAGAAAATTGAAACTAAAAATTCAGATTAAGTGTGTTGGTAGAATTGGAAGGTTGGACTAATGAATGACACTTAATGGTCAAGTAAAAAATATACAAATATCCAATTTACTTAACTAATATGCATTAAAATAACTGTAATTAGATAATAAATTAATAAATATATGTTAAATATATAAAAATGTATGAGTGATAATTTTGTATCAAATTAAACCAACTAACATATGTATTAACCGTACCAATTAAATAAAGACTAGTTACAGTCGATTAATAATATCGTACCAAATATGGAAACTTGGTTGCTATATGGTATTAAAAGTCACATACATGGCAGTACCATGGTATCGATTTAAGGGATGTTCGATTGTAGCTTAATGGTTGTATAGCCTATATGGCTTATTCCCTTCGCCATAAATAACTATTCGGTTGTGGCTTATTCGTTCAACCTATGACTTATTCAATTAGCCAAAAACAAATAGAGTCGTTTATATTCAACCGTTTATTCACATTTTTATTCCCTTTTTACCTTTCACCCTCTTTCATCTTCAACCACATTCCACAAATATTAATCTACGTTAAGCCATGGAAATCATCAAGATGGCAGATTTACTGATGTAAAAATATTTTGGAGTTTTTGAGGATTTTTTTAGGTTCAGTGGTGGTATGAATTATTAAAATTAGGGTTCGTTTACTAAACGTTTATCCGATAAGTGCTTATCGGGCAATTTTCCTCACCGGATGACATGGTAAGGGCTCAGAATCTTACGTGGTAAGAGCGATGATAAGAGTGAAGAGTCTTATCCGGTAAGTGAGTTGACGACTCTTAATCGGTAAGCGCTTATTGGGTAAATTGTTGCATAAGATACCGTTTTGATGTACTACAATCTTATTTGATAAAAATAAATTATAATATTGATTTCTCTAGTAAGCGTTTATCGAGTAAGCATTTGGGTAAACGGCTCCTTAGTGTAGTTAGAATTTTTGGGGGCATGGAAAGTTAGATAAGTAAAATTGAAATGAGGTGAAGGAAGAAGGTACATACATTTTCCAAGGGGAAGATGAGTTTAATGAAACAAGATACAAATATTAAGGGTAAAATGGTCTTTTTTTAACGTTTAGAGTGTTTATACAACACAAGAATCAAACAACAATTTATTTGATATCACACAAACAACTTTTTCTATACAAACAATTTTATTCATACATGTTTTAATGAAAAACAAACCGAATAACCTCTTAGTTAAAATATTTATTACTTTTTTATATTTTTGATATATTGAATATCAAATATTGTATGTTTTTTTTTTAACTTTTGTTGCCTGAGCATTTGAATGTTTGCAACTTTTATTAATTGCAATTTAAAATCCTTAAACATGACTTTATTTATCTGCAAACTCAAAATTTGAATAAAATGACAAATTTTCATATATGTAACTTGAAGTTGGTAAAAAAATCAATACCAATATATATGTGAACAAAAAAAAAAGACAGTACCAATTAAACTGATACCAAAAACAGTTGATTGCTATGCAATACAAAATCGTACAAATCAATTATAATTAATTAATATACAATAATGAAGAAGAAAAAAAACTTGGTACCATATCAAATTTGCCCCTGTAAAAATGTTATAATTTAATAGTAATCAGCTATAAATGATTAAGGGGCTGTTTGACAATTGCTGAATGATTTGATGCAAAATGAAATATAATTGTTTGGTAATTGTTTACAATGAAATTAGGGCTCTTAATGGTTAAAGGAGATCCAAAATATAAAATCATTTAGAGGATTTTAAAACCATTAAAAAATAGACTTTTTTTTTACCAAACATAATTCACTTCTTAACAATTCATATATTATCTCTTAATACAACTATTAAAAAGTAAATAAATAACCCTTAACTTCATTACAGTGAATAATGAAAAATTGAGTAAAATTTAACACGAATCCTAAATCCTATATGTTACTTTTGGTTGGTTATTTCATTGAGCATAAAATTACCAATAAAAGATAAATTAAGAAATTCTTTCGATTTTCCTACCTAAAAGAACATCAACGCATACAAACCATAAGCTGACGTCAGCGGTCGTCCTCCCAAAACTTTCTAAAATACAAAACCAGAAAGCAGCTTTCTCTACTGTTCTAACGTCTATCTCAAGATTCCACACCCACAATTACGATAAGGATGCAACTATATTTACCTGAATCACACATACATTCTCCAAAGTCCTCTCTCCGGCGAACCCAACACTCATACCCACAACCGCCATGTCCACTGCATTGTGAGTAACTGTTTGATCGGATTCCACGCTCGAAGTTCTCATTGGAATTTTGGGTTTTCCGATAGGTTTGGAGTTAGGGTTTTCTATTGCAAGTTTTAGCTAGAGAATGCGAGATAATGGTTGCTGCTGTGTCTTCTACAACTACAACACCTAATTCTAAGGTGTCATCGTGGGGCTCGAAGCCGAAGCGTGCGCCGCTGTTGCCTTCCGAGGGTGATAAAAATGGTCATCTTCTGCCACGGCGGCCGGAATCTGGAGATGTTACTTCACGGTACATGTCTGCTACTACTTCCTCAAATCCTAGTACAGATGCAATGAATTCATCATCTTCGTCGTCGTCTTCTTGTTCGACGACAACGTTATCTTTGAATTCTGTCTGTACTCCGAGGASGCGGTTGCCGTCGATGAATCTCTTAGCGCCAGCATCTCCGGTGAAAACTAAGCGAGATCAATCCGTGGAACGACGTCATTCTGTTGGTAAGCCGCATACAGGTGAGATGTCGGCGAGCGCGAAGTCGTTGACGAAAAGGTCAGCAAGGAGTTTGTCGGTTTCATTTCAAGGTGAATCGTTTGCGCTTCCGGTTAGCAAGGTCGCAAAACCATCGAATAATGGATTGAGAAATGGTACGCCGGAAAAGAGGAAGACGATGGCGCCAGCATCTAGGATGTCCGAAAATTTGAAGCCCATCGACAAGCAACGATGGCCTGGGAGATCTCGGCAGGGAAGTTGTATGACGATGAGTGTAGATTTTACAAATGAAAAGATGAAATTCAGTGGATCTGGGACCGCTGCCGCTGTTGAAGCTTCACGAAAATCCATGTCCGCCGTACAAACTGTTAATTCCGATCATGCCATTTCCGATACCGATAGTATTTCCTCCGGCAGCACTCCAGGTAATGTTCGAGGAGGAGGGCGTCGTGCTATCGTGGTGCCGGCTAGGTTTTGGCAAGAAACTATGAATCTGCTTAGACGAGTGCAACCGGAGCCTGTTTCGCCATCACCATCGAAGAGCGATAAGCTGATCTCTGGATACAAATTTCTAGATGATGGTCCGAAACTATCCCCAAAAGGTTCACCATATTCTCCGGTTAGAGGAGCTATTCCGCCGCCTTCACCTAGCAGGAGAGCGATCCCTTCATCGCCACCGCGAAATGCAGTAGGATCAAACGATAATTTGGGAAATACGCCTTCGATCCTCAGCTTTTCTGTTGATTCAAAGAGAGGGAAGGTTGGAGAGAAGAAGCTTGTTGATGCACATGTGTTGAGACTGATGCACAACAAACATTTGCAATGGCGGTTCGCAAATGCTAACGTAGAAGCTGCCATGTTGGTCCAGCGAGCTACGGCTAAGGTAACAGACTGCAACTATATTCTAGTTTATGTACCATTTCTTTGGCATAATTTTGAGATAATGCGGAACCATCAGATCACTTTCCAAAAGGGCACTTAACGAGAGAAAAGAGGTTTCAACATATACCGTAGAGAATAGGTGAAAGTCTTGACGGAATCAAATTTTGCCAGAGTGTCGAGAGAGGGCTAGACGGGCATGTATTGTCCCTGTCTTACAATGATATGGTAGTACTTGGTTGTGATACCACGTGAGATATGCGGAACTACGATTACTCTTCAAAAGAGTCCTTGAGGAGAGAAAGGAGATTCCAACAAATATTGAAAAGAATTAGTTGAGCCATCTTAAAATATGAAGATGTCATACATGCATAATTTTCTGTAACTTTTTATCTTAAACATTATAAATTTGTTTCAGAAAAGCCTATATAACGCATGGGTGACTATTTCGAAGATATGGCATTCTGTCGTATCCAAACGAGTAGAGATGCAACAACTGAAGCAGAACTTGAAGTTGCATTCTATCCTCAAGAAACAAGTAAGAACATCAACTCTTTTCATTCCAACTTCAAATTTGTTGCTGGCATTTCCCCTGTTTTTGGTATGGCATTTTATATCATCCATCCATCTGTAAGCATATATTCTACATTTTCTTAGATACCATGTGAATGTATGATATTGCCTATTGTAGGTTAGAAATGATGAGGTAGGAGGTTCATGATGTTCATAAAACATGATGAACACCCATGCCTTTTGCATCAGCAGTTTGAATGTTGTTTTGACTGTTCTTGCAATTGGTACGGCGCCTTACAGGACACGAGAGAAAAGAACAAAAATTTGTCCCACATTTCGTGTGACATTTAGATTTAGACATGACAAGAATGCATTTTTGTCCCACCAAAATAGGTGGAACAAAAATCAGGGAGATGAGACAATATTGGTTTATTACTAAACTACCCATGTCAAATTAAAACCTTAAAAGTTAAAAAACCTCGTGCAGTTCTTATACCCGCCTACCTTACTCTCGCCCATTCAGTCCTGTGTTGTCCCGTCTGCGTACCAAATGCAGTTCTTCATTCTCAAGTTGTTAGATTACTTTCTTCTTGTATTTTGAATGTTGATGTGTGCTTGACCAGCTGTGTTTTCGTTTAGTTACCTCAAGTCACTTTGTTTAGTGATCTTATTGTATGTATTTGAGAAATGCAGATGTCGTATTTGGATAACTGGGATCTAACCGATAGGGACCACTCCATTTCCTTAGCTGGAGCTATTGGGGCTCTGGAGTCTAGCTCTCTTTGCCTTCCAGTTTTATGTGGCGCAAAGGTAGGAATTTGCGTACATCTTTTTGAAAATGTCCCAAATCTTAACGGTCTTATCATTTGGCTTAGAAACTAGTTACAAAGTTCAATCTGTAACATTCATTACTTTTACAGGCAGATATTCTGAATTTGATAGATGCCATTTCCTCAGCCTTTGATGTGATGCAGGCAATCACAGTCTCGATATGTTCTTTAGTAACTAAGGTGATGTGGAACTCTTTGAACTCTGATTCTTGCTTGTGATGATCACCTGAAACTTTGGATATTTGAACCGATGATAATAACCTCAGTTGCTCAATTCCAGCAAAAAGCATATCAGATTCAAGACCACAAATGGGAGATGTCCCGTTATGAATAGTGTAACACCTAGTTATATTCGTGAACCTAAATATGTGGCATAACAAAAAGCATGATAATTCAACGCAGTTACTTCACTAGGACTATATGCGGAACCAGAGAACGTGCCCAAATGTCTTTTCTCTAAGCAATATTTAGTTGAACTCAAAAAGTGTCAATTACTTTATGCATTTAAAAGTAAACGAAATTTTGTTGCAATCTAGATCGATCATTATAGTAACATATTTCTTGTAACAGGTGGAGCATGTGAATTCATTGGCGTCTGAACTTGCAAGCTCAACGAAAACCGAATGTTGTTTGCTTGATCAGTGCAAGGATCTATTTACAACATTGACACTCATGGAGGTAAGTCTGCAACTATGGAAATTCTTTTCTTTCCCGAAATATTAGATTAGAAATGGTAAACTTTATCTTGTGTTACACCCAGAGAGTAATAAATAGATTTGATAATTTGGTACCAAAATACAACATCCCAAAAAGGTCCACTTTCGACTTTAGAGTGTTGAGTGAATTATTCCCTCCGTCCCAAAATAAATGCTACAATTTCTGTAGGGCTTTCGGTTTTGTAACTTCTATTATTTATGGTTTATTTTCTAAGATTTGCCTTTGGCGTGTAGCTCAGTTGGCAAAGGGGTAGGTTGATTTTGCCTAAATACAAGACAGGTCATGGGTTCAATCCCCCCCCCCCCCCNTATTAATGCCTCTGACGTGTAGCTTAATTGGCAAAAGGATAAGATGATTTTGCCTAAATACAAGACAGGTCAAGGGTTCAATCCCCCCCCCCCCCGGGTAGCCTCAGCCGCTGAGTGAGCCAAAAATTGCCCCCTCACATTGATATCCTTGGAGACAGGTTGCATGTAGAGCCGGTTGGGGTTGCCAGTTATCAACCTTGTGCCCAAATTTTCTAAGATTTAGTTTCTCATCACCGAATTTGTCACCAAATTCCATTTTGGCCTAACGTTACGTTTCATGGGGTTATTTAGGAGAATAACATTCTAACATATTCTTTTAAATACATTACCTTCTGACAGATTTGAAAACATTGTATTTTTTAGCTAGAATCTGTCAGAAGGTCATGCATTTAAATTTTATTTGTTTGAACAGATTTTCGTTAAATGCATTACCTTTGAGAGATATTTGAAATATTATTGTGTTAGGAAGAAACGTTTTTTGTTAGTGAGAGACGTTTTTATATCTGTTAGAAGATCATGCATTTAAAAAAAAAGGTTTGTTCATAAGGCTATTGTCTTAAATAACCTTATGCACCTTGCTCCTTGTATTAGTTATTTGATTCAGGAACTGAACAGTTGAATGAAAGCAGGTGCAGGATTGCAGCCTGAGAACACATACATTACAACTCATGCCTACAACACGGCTGTGAAGGTGATGTCCCTTGGACTGCTTACTGAAAGACAAATTACTAACATGACCCTGGAAATTCCTACTTTACCCTTGTAACAAGCTGACCCGATAAACCAAATGGCGTACGAGTATCATCATATGTTTGTTCTTTCGTGGGATTTGGTGAATAAAGCTGCGTGATGTGCTGTGTGTTCATAGATACAGTAGACAATCGATACCGCTTTTCAGCCCATCTTTCCATATACGTACGTGCAATTCCATGTAGGCCAGGGAGTACATGTATATAGTTAGTTTGTTCTCCGAATATGTTGTTGTGTTGTCCAAGTTTTGTTTTGGTACTCTGCTAATGATTGATAGAATTGCTTCTGTTTTGATTGGTATGTAGTCTTGGGTTTCCTCTACTTGGCCTTTCTCATATTCATTAGTAACTCAGAACTAGTGGTGTTGATCTAAATCGCATAAACCGCGCACTTCGCAAGGCTTACAACTTCCGCGGTGAGGTTTGCGTTTGCACTTTTATCACACCGTATTTTGCAGTATGGTTTACGGTTTTGAATTATGAAATCATGGTCCCCCCTCACGGCACATGCATGCACACATATATAGGGGCTTAATCATTTGAAAACTCTATCTATTGTGATAACTGTGAGAACTTTTATCTTATGTATTGTTTCACATGATTTTTTTCTCATATAAGGTTTGCATATAATATATTGATGAACATATATTTGTTTCACGGTGTATTTGCTTCACATGTATTCGGTTCACAAAGTGAAACCTTTTTACGTGTAACTTCTGTTTCACCCAAACAAATTAAAAAGGTTCACATTACAAATACATGTGAAACAAACACATTGCAAAACAAACACATTGCGAAACTAATATATGTTAATCAATATTTTAATTCCTAGTCTTTGATGAAAAAGCATGTGATGCACTAGTTATTAAGGTTATCACAATTTCATGGGTTCTCAAAAGAAGGTCTYCTATGAGAATAAGTAAATGAGAACTACGAAAGAGCTTGAGAACCATGAGTATTAGTAATCATGTGTTTGTGAAATAATGCATGTGAAAAATATAATGTTGATTATGACTACTTTTAATGTGTACTTTTGATTCACATTGTGAAAAAACACCGTACATTCACATGCATTATTTTACTATTTTTTTATTAACCTGGACATCCAACCCGCAATGCGAGCTGACTAATCCCAGGGCGACCACATGTTTTGCAGATAGCCCGGAGTCACCGCATTTGAACCTCCGTGGCCACAAAGGGGATTTTTATTTCTCCTTGGATTTGAACCTGGGACCTCCAAGTACTTTTGACCTTTGGAGCCAAGCTCAAACCAATCTGGCACCACCCTTGTAGTTAATTATTTTACTATCATTCACAAAATGAAAAACACCTCCTAAACAATGTATGAAGAATATAATATTCTTATGATTTCTGCTGGAGAGTATTGTTAGAGTCTGAACATACTATGCATTTGAGATCCTTGGGTGGGTTCTTTTCGGGGGGTGCTTTGGGACATATGGGATACACTTGGGTTGGGTGGGGCTTTAGAAGGGAGGGGGGGCTGGAAGATATCTGTTTTATGCAGATACTCTTCTTTAATCTCTCATGGGCTTTATGGGCTTGGGTTATGGGATGTTGATATAAGGAGATAAGCCTTCTTTTGAATTTGTTCTGGAGATATAAGGAGGTTTCTTTGGAGGTTTGGTTGGTTCTATGGGTGTTTTTTATGGCTGATGTGCAGAATCTGTTTGTTTTGGTGTTTCCTATGCTGTTGGAGTTGGAGGGAGGGGTAATAATAATAGGCCTTGCTTTCTCCTGATCTGGGAAAGAACATTTTATTGGTTGTTTCCTAGAGAAGGTTTTCTTCTTGGGATTGGGAATTATCATTCTTATCTGATTATGGTTTATGCTAATTCATGGTTTGTTGCCTTTGGGGTTTCTGTCTTGTTTACTGCCCACATGATACCTCCCTGGTTTTTCTATATGGCCTGGTGCTTGTTTGGTGATCATTTGTGTATAATCTACTTCCTGTTCCTTTATAGGCTTCCTTTAACCTTTGCTTTTGGTCTTGGACATCTAGTTGGTGGTTGATCTATGATCCTGCCATGATGATTGCCTTTGTCCCATACTTCTTGGTACAATGGCTGTTGATCTTTGATCCGGCTATTTATGTTACCATTATGGGACTTTCTTTTCTATTTGGGATTGGTCTTGCTTCTTTTGATCCTGTTATTTCTGTTTTGAGCCTGCTGCTTATTGGGATTTTGGTTACTAAATTCTGCTACTTTAACAGTTTTGACAACTGCATAATGGTAGAATTTGATCTTATGTGGAATGTGTATGGAGGGTTTGGATATCAGGATGATAAACTGGATCCTCGTGCCCATATGTTTATGGGGAGATGGTACTGAATGTTTGAACAGGAGAGCTATGTGAATTTAGAAGGTATAAGGTTGGGATAAAATTGGTCTATACACTGTAATGGTTACCTGGGGTCACTATGGATCGTATGCAGATAAGGGACTGTTTCTGTGTTTTACTTTGCTCCACTCTTATGGTCCCTTGGAGTTTAGATGGATGGTTTTTTTAAGTTTCTTGTCAAATTTTGTGGCAAACTTTGTGAAATGGTCCATGAACAATTGTGCAGCCACCATCTAACCTGTGCTGCTACATAAGGACCATAATTTGGTTAAAAATCCAATTTTGAGCATTTGAGCAGCCACCAGCTAACCTATGCTGCTTCAAATGGGTGTGAAATCAATTTGGATGAAAACAATCAGTGGGGACAGAATTGGTGCTGTAAGAATGGATTTTGCAATTCAAGCTTCGATCTCCTGGTTGCTGACGATGTTTTTTGGTGCCCTAATTTCAATTGATGGGTGGACCGATTTCTTGACTTGTTGATATATGGATTTCGATTTGCAGTATCGATTGCCATCATCTCCAATCATGTCGATTTCATATATCAATGGATTTCTGTTTCGATTTCATAGCTCTACTGTATATCGCCCTGCTCGTTTGCTGTGTATCGCCTACTTCTTTCCATGGATGAACAACGATTTGGATTGGGCTATTCTTTTTTGGCAATATTGATTATCATCGTCTTCGATCATGTTGGGATTGGATGCTATGTGTCGATCGGTTGCCGATTGTTCTGTTGATTCTGTTCGGCCATGGTTCTATCATAGTGGTATTTGGGCTTCTCTAAATGATATGGATTTGGTTGATTGATTGCTGGACTGCTKATCTGGGCTCAATTGGTATGGATTTGTTTGTTGGCAAACTGGTGTTTGGGCTTCTTTAAAAGTAGTGATGGCTAAATCGGCCCGGAGGATGGGGACCGGTTTTTGATCAGAGATATGGATTTGGTTTGATGATGCTGGGCTGATTACTTGGACCAAATACTATTTCGTTCCTGGGCCTTTGTTGATGGACCGGAATACTATTGCATTGGAATTGGATTAGCATCAATTGTGGGGCCTCATTATTGAATATTGGTGTTGGATTCCATGTTAACTTGAACTTTGGGTTTTTCTGGTTATTTTTCATGGTCTACATGTTTGGACCTTGGGTTCTTTTGTTGGATTAATGTCATTTATCATTTGTAAAAATGGGTATGCCCATTTAATTTTTGTAATATTTTATTTTATTCAATAAAATCTTCCGGGGTTCCGCATCCCTTCCCAAAAAAATAATATTGTTTATGATTATTTTAATGTACATTGTATGTATCACATTGTGAAATAACAATTGTACATTCATATTCATTATTTTACTGTTATTTCACAATATGAAACAACACCTATTAAAACAATGCATGAAAAATAAAGTATTGTTCATTATTATTATTAATATGATTTTTTTTTATTTTTGTTTCACATCATAGAACAACGCTTTATGTTTATAGTATGAAATAACACATGACTACTGGATTTTACGATTCGTAATATTTTTGTGATGTATAATTGTATTGGATTATATGTTTACGAAAAATATAAATATATAATAATAAAATTTATAGATGATTGTATTTTTTTTTATTGAAACTTTTTCAGTGTGTTAGCAATTAGGGGTGCTCACGGCCCGGGTTGATCGGTTTGGAGCCGTTTTAGTAACCCAACCCAATGTTGGCGGTTTGAAAATTTTCAACCCAACCCAACCCAAACAAAAGTTCAACCCAACCCAACCCAACCCAACCCGTTCGGGTTGATCGGGTTGGTCGGGTTGATCGGGTTGTGTTTAAAC